TAATTTATATTGTATATACATTTGCACATGCCTACATGTTGACCAGTTTTCCATTGGCATTGGGCGGAAGTTGCTGGGTTGGTAGCAGCCCACCTGGTACGCTTTCCTGCGCTTTCCCTTCTGTCAAAAGAGAGTGCAAACAGCAAGCTGCTAGTCAATCAGGCGTCATCCACACGCCCCGTGAGGCCTTCGCCAGGCCATATGCAAAGGGCATCTGAGCCAAGTCTTTGGAGAGTTCATTTTGCAGGTTGTGCCTCAGGGGTCACAAAAAGATCGATGGCTTTGGACACTCAATGCGGCCCAGTGGCTGGGTATATCAAAAGTCTACTTGTTGATCCTCCAGGAAGTGATTAAGACCTCTGGTAGATTATTACAGGTGGTCAAAATGCTAGCCCTATCGCCAAATCAGTAAAGGGAAAACTCATCTGTTCTTTGTCACGTTGGTTGTGGAAATGCTTTATGGCATATATGCAATATATCAACCATGATCAAACACCATGCCATCTCTATATCTGTACACCTTGCAGTCAGGTGCTGATTCAACGCGAAGAGGCAAATCCAGAAGACGCAGGCTGGGATCCGCTGCGGCGACTCCTGGTGTTTTCGTGGCGTGTGACATGGCAAAGACTCAGAGGGGAGTGCCATATATGCCGCTCAGTTGGGGTGGTTTGGGGGGTCAATGTAGGCATATATTGCATACATGGAGTGTATGGCGTATGGGATACATTGAGATGTCAGTTGGTCGATGGCATTGATTGACTTATGCTGAGAGTTGTTCGACACAATCCAAGCCATGGACACTCCAGCCTTCGTCAAGATCAGTTCCCTCTGCAAAGCAGCAACTGAATCGGCAAAAGGGTGTGACCAGCTATGACTCACAAAGAAGTCCTTAGTGTCGATCAATAAGGTCTCACACTGCGAAGGTCTCACAGCTGATGCGCATCGAGAAGGTTCATTTGGTTCCCACTCAATAAGGCTCAGCTGAACTTCGAGCCTGCAAATATGTCCCACTATAGGGTACTCCCAAGACCTCATGGGTACTCTCAAGACCTCATTGAATCAAACGCTCATAGCATCCAAAAGACCAACGAATCGCTGGCACTTTGCGTCTTTACATCGTCTTACTACCGCCCGTCGCCCGTCTACCCGTCTACCCGCTGCCCGCCCATCTAGTCACACCAAGTGTCACATGGGAGGCCCCTGGGATTCATCAGCTGTGCAAAGCAGCAACTCCTCTTGGGCCTCGACAGCTCCAAGCTCCGGAGCAGAGCGTCCGGCACCGGCTGTAGGGCAGACACCTCGGGGCGCACGCGAGCACAGACGACCTGTGCGGAGCGGTGGGCGATGCGTGTCACACGTCGCAGGCGCGGATTCCAGGTGCTAGCTATGTCTTTTGTTCACAGGAAACATCTGCACCAAGGTAGTTGAAGTCCCATCGGTTCATTATGCTTCATTCTAACCCACAAAAGCCGTTGGACATGGTCATTCCACCAATGATGCGCTACGATGCGAAGCATTGCGAAGCAAGTGGCACACTCCTCGACTGTGGCTGGCCGCACCAAGAAATGGTTCAAAGAGTAGAGGTCCGGCCTCGTAAATCCTCGGTGATTCTAGTCCCAGGAGCGAACAAACATGTAAAACACATGCGAAAAACTCGTATTCACTTCACAAACGGTTGAGGGTATCAAACACCCCCCATCTCCCCAGTGTTCATCGAAAACGTCAGGTCGCACCTGAGAAATGGTTCGTCTGTCATCGTCCGTTGTGGCGTCTTGGCGAGGCGGGTGATTTCAAAGAGGATTACAGCCCGGGGTGGGTTGATCAAGTGGGTGTGTCATCGAGAGGCCTACCTATTTGCATACACACCCAAGTACGTCATATATGACCCTCCTGCATCCTCCTGCATCACCCATGTGATCCAACAAGCTTCTGGAGCCTTCCTTTGCAGCCTCCTCACACTTCCTCGCGAGCCATCCATCCTGTTGAAGCAAGTGCGTGGAATATATACTGAATTTTGATTCTCTTGAAAATGACTAAACGCCCCCTGCTGGTGCATGAAGGAAGACCCTCTCAAAAACTGAGGGCCGACTGTGTGAGGTGTTTTGCAGGCATGCTTGCCCTCATCTTCTGGACGACTGCCATTCCTCCCTGCCAGTCCTGGTTGCACGCGGAACAAATGGCCTCCAACTGTTGCAACCTAGGTTTCTTCAGTCCCACTGGCTGCAGCGACTCATAGCCTCATCCTATATGCCTATTGTACAGCTGGTAGCCACCGAAACATGTCAAGGTCACCCCGTGATTCTCCCTTTACTACTATAGCTTCTTGCTACTATAGTAGCGATGCCAGGAGCTAGTAGTAGTTCCTGGTTCCTACTAGCGCTGGGGTTTAGTCACCCGGTTTGCAGACGACTGCCGACTTTCTACAAGACCAGACGACTTAACACAAGTGCTTGTAGTAGTAGTAATGCCCTTGGAACTACTCTAGCTAGCTTCGTCTGCGTCGTCCACGTCGTCTGCCGCGTCGCGTGAGGCCCCGGAGGGCGAAGGGCACGACCCGCTTTGACTCTTCGGCCTGCGACCGGACCGAACTGCGGCAAGACGGAAGCCACTGCCCTGCGGGCTGCGGGAGCACATGGAACCCTAAAAGGTTGAAAAAAACACATGGGTTGTAAAAGGATGTGATGTTTTTGGGCTTCCAAAGGTCCGTTTTCGTCATTTTTTCCATGCTCATCTTCACGAGCGCACTCATGGAGGTTCACCTGTTGAAACGAAGAAACTTGGCACATGTCACCTGTTCCACGTTGAGAATTTCTTCAAGGTTTATTCGACACTCGCAGATATTGGTGCATGTCGCCTATGGTGTTGCAATCAGCTGAAGGCTCAAGAATGTCTTTAGCGTGGCTCGACGCATTTATTGCCCGCCCCCGTTTCACAACCATTAAAAACACCTCCAATAAGGCGCGTCCAGTCCATGAAGCCTCCAGTACTACACTCCCCGATGTCATGCCTTCCGCAGGATCATGATCCGAACGCATTGGATGTGTTACAGTGTTGGAGGAATTTCATGAGAGTTCCCCTCCCAAAACAAGACACGAACAGCCAAAACACCCATCAAAACCCTTCAAAACACCCTCAAACAAACAGCCAAAACACCCATCAGAACGTCCGGCTTCAATCTGTTCAATCCTTTCCAGGCCAGGCCTCCGCAGTCCTCGCCAGCTCACGAAACCCTGCCCGATCCAAGCTGTGCTGGTCCGGCAGCTCCAAGCCGAGGCCTCTTTCGTTCGCCAGTTACGAGCAATCGAGCAACATCAAACATGAACGTCCTCCTGATGGGTAGATCCAACAGGAGGCATTTGAACAATGAACATAGAAAAATCGACATTATATACGGACCAATCAAATGTGCTCTATATATTATACATTGTACATTTATATGCCCATGACAATTAATGAGCAATACCGCATACCAAAAATGGTGCCTCCTGCAGTAAAAGCAAATCCTTTTCTTTTGGTGTGGTTGCATGTTCATTGAATCATTAAGGATGACTGCACATGTTAAACAAAAGCATTTGCAGCAGTGGTACAGTAGGAGCCATAACTGCTTCACACATCAACGTGTTGCAGTTCCTCGATCTCAGGTATGCTCTGATGATTCAAGTGCTTCAAGGCCAACTGTGTTTAGGGTTCTGAGGATCCATGATCATCCGGTTGCATCCTTTTGCCCATTCAAGTCCACTTCAAAACTTGCCACCCTCGGCTTCCCCCCTGGCTGCCCAGCGCTATGTGCCTGCAAGTGCCATGTGCAATTCCTGCAGGGTTGGACCGAGGTTCGACAAACACGGGCTTTCAGTCGTATGACGTCGTTGATGTCAGTTCGAGCCCTTCGCCCTTCGCCCTGTTCAGCACGCCTGGCCAGCCAAGCAGTCCGCGTTCGCCAAATTGCAGGCATCGAAAAGCTGCTCCACCTGGCGCCTGAGACGGTCGAAGCGGCTCGACGAAGCTGTCTCCCTTCGACAGCTATGAGACCCCAACCAAAAACATGAGTCATGAAAGCACAGTAGGAAAGGATGTTGTTAATTCAATGTAACATATTCAATTCCTTTTAATCACAAGCGAGTTCTTTGAATGCGACTCAGTGAGGGTGAAATTGACACATGCAGCAGGAAGACGCTCAAGACTTATATAGAACCAAACTGGAAACAATCCATGTTCATGTGCGACCAAGAATCAGTTTGATGCAACAAATCCAGCAACATCATTCACTTAGACATGTTGCTTCATATGCACAGACCGCCTGGGATGTCACCTAATTGGTTCAGCCCAGTTGCTCCCTTTCACCCGCGCCACTGGCACCAGAGCCCATGTGATCCACCGTAAGCACAGGGACGGCAGAAAGGCTCAGCGCACGATGTTCCAACCAACCAGTCCAGGATGCAAACACCATTACAATAAAAGCACATGAACGCATGTTAGATGTAAACTGATATAAACAAACATGCGTATGCAATCCAAGCATTACATCATCTATTTTACATATGATCACTTATGATTTGAGCCTGCCATCTGCCATAGTCTTCCTACCCACACCCTTACAGGTGCTTTGGAGAGCTTGGTCCTAGAGCTTGGTGTATTCATGCTCGTCACACCCAAGGTGAAAAACATGAAATCAAAAACTCTTTGGGGCGCACAACCTCTTCAGTGGGATGCTCATAAACATTGCATCTGTTTCCTGCGAGCCATTGAGCCTTTTTGCCTGAGCATGGCTGCAGATGAACTCAGGCTGACCATCACTTAGGAGGGTGGTCATTCTTAGAAGTGCCCAGTTGATAACAGGCTTTGCCCATCCCCAAAGTAGAAAGCGCTTTCCGTTGACTATCACACTCTTCACTCATCTCTATACACAAGCGTCACAAATCTCTCACATGTTCCTTCCGAACCGAAACGCCGGATCGATGCGGAACGGGGCGGGTGAAGCGGAGATCGGCCGAGAGAACGGCCTCGTCCATTTCGCCACTCTTCCGCTGAGAAAGCACATGAAGGCCCTGTGCATTTCGAAGCTCCTGCGAGCGAGACGCACGAGCGCCAGCTGCCGAGAGAAGCTGCGAAAAGCGAAGCTAAGCAGCTATATATTCGCTGCCGCTATATGGAAGGCGGAGGTGCAGGCGGAGCTGCGGCATATATGACTTTGGGATTTTTTCAGGTGATGCCAAGAGATGTTTGGGACTAGAAGTCGCAATTTATTGTGACAAGTCCCACAATTCACGCACCACAACCGCCTTCACACCCAGTGCCTTCACAGAAGTCGAATGCTTGCCGGCGCTCCTCGGATAATCTGGACTCCAGCTTTTCCACCTCGAACTCTTCCGATGCTCCATACCTCTAAGGTGGACGGTCTGCGCGCGCGCGAAGGCGTTCAAACGGACGGCGTGACGGTCCGAAGCCAAAAGAACCAACGGCGTATACGACATCGTCCAGAGTCTTGGGCTCTTCTGGGATCTTTTGGGCGCATTTATCATGTTGATTCATGTCTTATACGCATTATCGTTGCAAGCGCGTCAAAAAGAACTGAGCTATGCTGTACAAATGGAGAACGTACTTGTTTTGTAATCACGGGACAATATGTGCAACATTGTGCAACCGTCTCATGTTGAAACAATGCCTCAAAACTGTGAGTCAGCCGTGTCTCCATACTGGTAGTCTTCAGTACTCACCAACTGACCTTAATGCGTCACAAGTTGGTTTTGATGGAACCTCAGAAAGAACACTCCAGCACACTCACTCCCAATGTCAAATGCCTAGAATGAAAATCAATAATAGACACTTGATGGCCTGGAGTTACAAAACATGTTGGTTAAACCAGTATCAACCAGCAGAACCTGCTGTTGCATGCACATCGTCGCCCTCACTCCCCAGCCGAGCCTCCCAGGATTGCGGACGTGATATACCAGCCTCAGAGAACGCTTCTCGGTGCGGACAGCGCGGTCAAGGGGTGGTCCATGGGTGATCTAGGAGGATCTGTTGCACACTCCCTGCCAAAATCATGCAAAATTTGCAACATTGATGAACAGGGCCCTCCCTGGGAAGACGAAATCCTCTAGAAAACGGATGGTGGTGAACTCCCATGTGATGTGTTCCTCAGAGTGTACTTCATTCCGCTACTTTGAGATAGTGGCAGTCCAAATGAAAACCTTCTGGAAACTTTTGAAACTTCTGTATACATCATATAATATCCCCAATATAAAGGATCTGCATAGATTCAATTTGCTGGGGGCTCTCACCTCTGCCACCCCGGAGAAGTGCTGAAATGTCTGGAGGCTGCGCAGGTGCCGGCAACAAAATCTGTCGCGCCTTGAGTAGAGACAGTGGTGCAATTTACAGTATAGTCTAGTGTTTTTTCATTGTTCTTTTTCCCCTTGTCTGTGGTGTGCAATGTACAGTAAGATCTCTTCAAAACCACCGGGCTTCCAAGTGGCAGCTGGTCGCCCGGCCGCGAGAGCACGCGGATGGTGCAGCGAAGGGCCAAGGTGCTGAGCCTTGGGGCGACCACGACTGGGCGTGGGGCGACGTTCAACTCGCTGGTCCACGTTCGTCTGAGTCGGTGGGTTGGTTCAAATCATCCCAAGTACAGGTTGAAATCAAGGAAGAAGGGACTGCGGTCCACAAGTTCCATGGAGTTGGGTGGTCTACCCGGCATCCTGCCGAACTGCTGAGTAGGATCATCTTGGAGTTGGTACTAGTTACTAGATGGTCTTACCGTTGAGTGGGGATTTCATCCAAAGCCACCCGGCCCGGGTGGGTGGTTCTTCTCCAGTCAGAAAGACTCTGGATGATGGATGAAACCGATTGAAAGACATTGAAGCGGTCAAGGACTCCAGGTTGGAACGAGTAGAGATTGGACACCTCCCAACACCACGCCAGTCATTGGGGTTTCAGCACATGGACATCCAGTCCCCCGAGTGCGCCTGGCACTCAGTACATGTCGAGCATCACCCACTTCCCGTACGGCGCCGGACTCCGCACACCATCCACCGGCCAAAGCACTCACTGCCGTCCCATGCCACCAATATGCGCATGCGCCTCAAACTGCATCCGGTTTTTCCTGTCTCTGTCTCGCTTCGTGTCTCTGGATCAAGAACGACGGTTTCGAAACCCAGGGTCCGTACATGGGTCCGTCCATTTGAGACATCACTTGGTAAACAATCGTCTATAACTTTGTAATTCATGGATTTTGACACCACTATTGCTCCATGAACCCTTAGCCTTAGCACCAGATCTTCAAAAGAGCCACCCTGGGTGGGGTCCCGTTCTTGAAGGGTCCCATCGAGATCCCAACAAAGTAAGCTCAGAAGAGTTGGATGCTGGCGTGGAAACGACTCTTGCAATGGAAAGTTCAATGTGCCCAATCTTGGCAGTAAGTAACATGTGTGGTGCCTCTATGACTCTAAACCGTGTAAACAAAAACACGACTTTCTTCATATTCTCTTGGATGCGGTTTCAGAAGCTGCTCTCGTGTCCAAGCCACTTCGTCAAGCCCTAACGCAGTGGGCACGTTCCGCGAGCGAGGGCAGCGCTTTTCTCGCGCCCCGCATCGCGGGTGGAAGCTGAGTAAGGCTGCGGTAGAACACAGAACACCAATGAATCACATGTGCGTTGTTTTGGCCAATCAAACCTTGGGCATGCCACACACAAGGCCTATGCCGCACCGGTGATGATTTCCAAGATGTGACATCTTGCCCAACATCTTGTCACATTATGTCAGGATGCTCTTACGCCGAAGCTGTAGCGGACTGCATTCTGCTCTTGCAACTTGAGTAGTACAAACCTCCCAGCTGGTACTCCCACCTGACTGCTGGCTTAAAGGATCATCTCAAGCAGAAACGGACAAACGACCGGGATCTCCACCGGCTCTTCCCATCTCCACCCAACCGCCCCTGCCCTGCTCCTCCGGTTCGTCCAAGGGTGGCGGGATCGGCACCGGCCCCTGAACAAAAAGGAGACGAAGAGGGGACTCCAACGGATGTTCCACTCGGTACATTGCTTGTTCTTTGCATTGATCCTGCTTTTTCTGAGACGTGTGAGTTGGGAGGCGCATGGGGTTACCAGAATTTCCCTGCTGGATGCCAAGTGCACAGCCATGGGCTATGGAACAACAAAGAGGAAAGCAGCATTACTCCTGGTGGACGTTGACTTGGCAGGCCCTCATCCGTGCCTTGCCGTTCTTGGAGCCTTTCCCTGACTTTCCTGCAAACAAAACGAGCGTGCCGTTGAAGCCACCCAAGGCATGGAGTCAAAGGCGGTCATCTTCGTCAAAGGTGTCGGTGTTCTTTTACTGTTGACATGACTTGATCATCATGATTTACTTACAATCAAAAAATATATGTTACATAATTACGCTTATACAAACCTGATGAAGCCTGTGAGTTTAAGAACCTTCCATGTCGATCTTGGCGGTTGAGTCACCTCACACCATCCTCACACCCTAAAAACCCTCTCAAAGCTGGAGACTCCCAAGTTTCCCCGGCAACCCACTCCTTTGCCCCTCTCCTCTCGCTCGCCCTGGCAAGACAGGGGATGGCAAAGCATGGCAAGGCAGTTGGACGGCAGTGACAGTGTTCCTCAAGGCCAAACCTTGGCTACCACATGATTTGGATACTTATATAGCTGCTTTCATTCACCTGTACTACACCGTTTGTTCCTTGTTTTTTGAAGGGCCCACCCACCTCCCCTAGGAAGGAACAAATAGGAAGAAGTCATGAAAAACATGAGTGGCGCAATATCTGTGCGATCGAACAAATGAAAGGAGCATCATTGAAATCCATAATCATACTACTGGTGAAGTCTGAGGGTATGTTATGGAGTTGGGAATGCACTCCGAACCCCGCGATGGGGTCGAGAGCTAACCCTAGCCGCTCTCAAATGAGAGAGCTCCAGTCCAATATGCCCTTCATTTAACTTGCTATCCATCAATTTTCTTCTTGCTTGATGCCTACCTTTCAGATGCACCCGTGTCCTGTCCAAGATCCGAGCTCACAACGGCCCCTTTTTGCCACAGCCGTCGGATCCGGCGTTCAATCTCACAACGGCTGGATCTCCTTCAGCAGGGACTGCACCTCCTGGACGAGCCGCCCGAATCTTGGCACGGCAACATGTGGCTGCAGAGTCTTTAAGCCTGGTAACTGACTCTTTGACTCTTGCATGCGCCAAAGATCGTCACATCGCAGAGGTGCTTTCTGTTTGGATTCACCAGCCTGGTAAAAAAATAAGCATAAAGGGTTCAAGCAGGTCCAAATGCTGAGAGTCTCTGAGAGATATTCCCAGGAAAAAAACACGGTGACATCCAGTGCCACCATCTCAAAGATCTGAGGGTTCATCTGTTCAGGATCATCACCTACCCTGTTCATGGAGGTGGAGGTTGTTTTCCACTTCCATGTTTGTTGGAGGGAGGGTGGTTCGTCCAAAGTCCGGAATGGCGCCAGCTAGGAATCTCTGAATCGTGGAGAGTCCTTGGGGGGAGCGGCCGCCACCTTCTGCAACTGTCCCAAGAAGTTCGCGCCTTTCCTCAACAACGCGCGGTGTCTGCGGTGCCAATTGGTTGTAAAGCACGGCGTGGCCAGAAATGGACGCGATGAGCGAAAAACATTACGGTTGGGAGCTTGAACTCAACACCAATCCCTGCTTTAGTCCTTCTCCCTACGGGTTCGGGTTTCTGTGCTTGTTGAAGAAACAGTTGGCTAGTCATGCCTACACTAATGGGCCCACGACCAATCCAATGGGCCAATGGGTGTGCGAGTCTGCGTTTGTTTAGCTGTTCTATACTTTCCCAAATGAACAACACGGGGTCCATTACATGAATCTGCCCCCACCCAGAAGCGTCTCCCCACCTCGAAGCAGAGGTGCGACACTGCGACACCACACCAAGCCCAGACATTGCATGCTGGTCCAAGATGCTTGAGCTTGGATTCCAGGGTCTCCACGGTCATGCCCAATTTCTTCGACTTGGATTCCAGTTGCTCAGCCAACACCTAGCAACCCGGGTCGCCTGAAAATGGCCCCCCCAAAAAATGCACCAAGAAACTCATGCAACCTGTAAGCAGCTGTGATGGCAGGAGCTAGCGCATGGTGACATGGTGCAGGAATTCTTACGCGTGATTTCATGGGCCACACTTCACAAAGGGCAGCTGAGATCTTGAAGTGGATGTCGTGGTCGTGATTTTGAGACTTCTTTCACGTTGCAGTGAGATTTGGACAGTATCAGCTCTGCCATATATTGATGGTGACAGTCTCTTGCATTCCTTATCCATGCGGGGAACCGTTCGAAGGAGCCGGAAGAACTCGTCACGATCCAAGTCCCGACCGTTAAGGGACCGGCACTGTCAATCATGTGCCATCCGGAGAGCGTTTCACCTTAGAACACCTATTTTTCAAGGAAACAAGAGGTGTGCCATACAGATCATCCAAGTTCCAGGTGTGAAGCTAGTTCCAACTTGGATCCTGAATTTGGAAGAATTTTCACAAACAGAACACACACACACAACATAACACGCGGAATCTGCTAACAAAAAAAAACATTTACTTGCCACACATCATGTATGGCCTTCATAGGGGCAGTGCATGTGCTTTGAATTGTGAAGCCTATCGGCCGCGACTTCGGCTTCGATCGTTGTACCGTACCACGAATCGCTCTCGGCTCACGCCGCCAACACGACGCCTCCCTACGGACCGGTCGATCAACACGACCAGGACACAAGCCCAAAGGTATATCAAAAGGGCAAATGAGTGGAGTAGCTGGACGCTGGGGCGGTTTCACGCACAATACTAGGCACAATATATTCCATACATGGTCTGTTAGCCTTAACCAGGAAACATAGAGCTTTGGGCTTTGGGGGGCCCGCAACAGTCCCCATAGATCCATAGCCAACACCCACAGGCACTCATCCAATAGAGGGATCCCCTCAGCTTGGATTACCCTACGCGACATGGTCTCTGGTCCGTCACTTGCGCCTTGGTCTGCTGCAACTCTGCCTTCAGCACACTCTCCTGCTTCAGCAAAGCCGCCCGACGTGTGCGCCCCACCTCAGTTGGGGGGCTCAGGCGGTGCCAATCGGTGGTTGAAGAGGGTGAGAATTGATCGAACATGATGACCGAACCAGAAAGTCACAAGAAATCAGCCAAATCAACACTAGCCACTGTGCCACATATGTATAAGCCGTAAGCCTTTTAACTTACATTGATGGATGAGGGACAGCCATTTGTGCTTCCAACCGTCACAAAATTGCACACTTGTCATTCCAACCGTCGCAAGGCCGGCCATACGATCTTTTAACTGACCAACAGTTACACCATGATGTGAATGGTTCATTTTTGTTTTGCTTTCCTCTGTTCCATGGATATGAAAGATCATGAATGTTTGCGGAGTGACGATGCTTTTGGAATCTTGGAAGTCAGGGCACCAGATCGAGGCTTGCTTGCCATTGGGAAGAATCGACCCTCCTCCACCCCGCCGACCCCTGCGCCGCGCTTTTCCCGCCGACCCAGTTTTTCTCGTTGTCTCGCGGAGCGCCTCGAAGCTCTTCAGGAACATCTTCTTCAAGGAGATCTTGCTCTTCATCTCGGCCTACCGGCGTGGCTGGAAGAGCTCCGAGCCGTGAGAAGTTGAGTTGAAGCAACGGACTTGAGTTCAGAAAAGGGATCGAAGCTAGTTGAGTTGAGGTAGTCAGGTAGTCCGTTTCCGGCAGTTGATGCAATTTCCATTGAGTAACATCCCAGGTTTGGGATGAAATTCAAACACCCGTGCGGCAGGAGTGATGAATTAAGCTGAGTACATCGAACACATTCACATGAAACGCTGGTTGTTGTGAGATGAAACACGTCACAGTGATCTGAACAAAGTGCCTTTAAGATCTGAACTGCCTGAGCAGTTGACATGCAACAACTGGATGGCCTCATATCGCCTCAGTCTTGAGGAAATCATATACGTGAAACATTATATATACACATCTCTCTTGGAAGAATCATTGAAAATTGATGAAAATGGCATGGCCCGTTGGATTACCATGACATCTAAATACAAAACAGGGGGTGGTGAACTCCACTTCCATGATTCTTTCAAGGAGTGTAAACATTTATGCAAGATACCCATTTCACTTGAATGGCCTTGGGTGGTCTGATGCCCTCGGAGACCCCCCAAAAAAACTGTCTTCCCACCCTGGCCTTGTGCAAGTGTCGCAAATCTTTGGTCAATAGGTCGATCATCTCGTCCCCTTTGGGTGCTTCATCCTGGAGTCCACAAGTTGCGCGGACCCCTACTTCTGGGGTGAAAAACGTGGGGCGTTGCCGTTGTTCTGTTTATTTACTATGTAAAACAAATTGACCTCCCAGGTACGGGCAACAAAAAGCGAATTTCTGGATACTGGTCATTGTCGTAAGCACGTGTAAGCACTGTAGGTCCCACGATGGAACCATCAAACAACCGTGAGAGAAAATGGCAATGACTTCTACCTGCATGCTCCCATCAAGGCAAGGTGAGCGTGTGGAGTTTCAACATGTTTCAACTACACAGAAAGGGCCAAACGCTTGCAAAGCAAGTTCAAGCACTCCTGAGCATCCTCACTCT